ACGAAGTAAAAGGAAAGTAAGTAAAGTAATAAACGTAAACTAAAAACTAAAACTAAACTAACGAATATAACCAACTATATATATATATATATATATATATATATATATATATATATATATATATATATTATNTGGGGGGGGTTAACTGAAAAATGGACAAAACAATTCCAATTAGTTCAAACTTCAAACTTTGAAGAGTAAGAAAATTGACCAAAATATTTTCTTTCAATATAAGAGCAAAACCATTTTGTTTAATATAGTGAGAATTAATACGAGTCAACGAGTATGATTGGAGAAAGAGAGAACGAGTTAAATATATAGTCCAATTTAGAAATATTGCAACAACTTTTTTTTCAGAAAAATATCTGGCCATTCACCGAATCTACTGAAAAAAAGATGAAAATTTCTTATTTCGCTGTAAAATGATAAAATTCACAGAAATGAACCATACAAAAAGAAATAAGAAGAAACGAATTCCAAAGTATTCATAAACTCTATTTCAGAACAAACCCATGAACAGAAACCATAGAAAATTAAAGAAAGATTCATAGCTTGACCGAAGAGAGAAATTTAACGGCACAGTGATCCATATGAGCAGAGACATAACCTAAAAAGTAAACCTTGAAATTTATTACCTGTTCGGTTTCTAGAGAATCCGAATTCTTGGATCCCATGATTCCCCTAGACAGAGAGCAATTCAATTACGGGAAAAGCGAGAGAGAGAGCTCATAAACTTGTACATTTTCCCCTGTTTTTAAAGTAACCCTCTTAGGGCAGACTAGGATGGATTCGGAAGCTTCGGTCAGAGGTTGAAGCTTCGGTCAATAAAAAATAAATAAATAAATAAATAACCATTATAAACGCATTTTTTAAATTTTTAAATTTTTTATTATTTTTATATATATTATATATAAATATCTAATTTATTTATATTAAATTAAAAAAATATGAAATCTTCATCCGAATTGACAGAAACATCGAATTGCTTTATTTTTCTCACCAAATCGAATAATACAATGAAGCGAATCTGACAACGTTGGTGTTAGTTCGATGGCTCAGACTTAATCTCAATAAACAATGAGATATTATTTGGTTTTTAATACTATTTGGAAAAAAATTATATAAGTCCGATGCTTTGAACAATCCAAATAGGGTGCATTTAAAATATTTCACTAAAGAAGTTATTTTGATGCTCAAATATCTTCAAAGAAGTTAAACAATCCAAATAAGGCATACTTACAATATTTCACTAAAGAAGTTATTTTGACGCTCAAATATCTTCAAATTGATCATCTGGACCTCAAGATGCACGGACATGAGAATAAAATGGATTTCAAGTTTTGGAAATAGTGCATCTTGTAATGCATTTTTTTATATCGCCAATTTTTAAGATTTTCAAGTTTTCATAGATCTGGTCGATCTACACTATCTTTTAAGCTTTAAATTTTATAATTAAAGATGGAAATATATTTTAAGGATGTCACAAAGATTTTCAGTAATGAAACTGCATTTTTCAACACTATTTAAAAATGAGCTTTACTTTGATTGTTTAAAGCCTTTGCTTTATACAAACCGCCCCCATATTATTTTTGTTAATCTATTTGATCTTGGGAAATACATGCAACTAATCTCGGCTCAGAAAAGAAACAAGGGAAACTTAGGTAATTCGGGGAAAAAGAATTAGTATTTACTTACGTTCTTTTTTTGGGCCAATTTTGAAATACTCCCAATGTAGTACTTGAAGTGTTGGACTGATTTTTTTTTTTTTGAAAAGTCATATTGTTATTTTGTTGATAAGGTTATCAAAAAGACAAAGAGTCAGACATATCGCTCACATACTTCAAGTACCATACACGCTTCTCAAAGAAAATTTGAGGCAAAATGTGGTCTGGTACCTCAAATGTATTTCGGTATAAAAAAATGACAAAAAAAAAACCCCTTAGTGTACATTATGAAACTAGGGGGATTGTTTTTAATTAAGAAAGGCCAATGGTCTATTTTACCAATTTTAGAATTTTTTATATTATTTATTTTGTATTTTTGTTTGACACATAGTGAGGTGCACATACCCCTAAAATTTCAGATTATTAGATTTATAAAAATAAAATAAAATTCAAACATTGAGACTATGCTAATTATCAGATCAGGCTAGATTCAATCTGAGCTTATGGACAAATGCGAGAATAGAAGTTACTACAAGTGAGCCCAATAAGACCGTGCTAACTACCGGATCAGGCTAGATTCAATCGAGGTTATGGATAAATACGAGAATAGAAGTTACCCATACAAGTGAGCCCAAAGGCAAAAGTTGGCAAAAAGTTGGCAAAAAGTTAGCATAAGGTCTAGGCTTTTTAAGATAACAGCAAAACACTACATTAAATCTCACAATAAATTGCTGATTTGGCATTCAAAAACTCTCTTGATTCTTGAATATTTATGGACCCAAAAATTCAAAAGAAATTATTGTCAAGTCTTAAAAATAGTATGTATTGTAACCTATTATCTGGAATGTCTATTTCAAGTGTTTATAGGTTTGATCCGTTAGTTAGATAGTCCAACAACTTTGCACCGGCAACATCTTTAATTTCTACATTTTATTTTTACATGGAGAAATGTTATTATTATTGTCAAACCATCTGTCTAAATATCACTGAGATGATCCAATCAACCAATTTTTACGATTAAATGGTTAATGTGGATTCTTTAATTTACCTTCTCAATTATTTTACTCCAAAATCCGACAATATTTAGTTCTCCTTCAAGAATAACAAAAGAACAAGAAAAAAGGATTTTTGAAGTTGGCTTAAATTATTTGATTTTAGGTGAGCCCACGGAAACATGACAATAGCTATTCCAACTTATGATCATGTGTATTTTGATGATTTTTTAAAAATAAATAAAAAATAAGAAAATTATTTTTATAGTTGCATTCTTATATGCGTTTTTTATAACTTTTTTTAAATTATGTTGTCCTTTTCCCCTTTAAGGAACATGTTATGGACCTTTTTATGACTGTAGATCTTTACCACTTTTTCTATCTTTTATTTATTTTTGGGTAAATCATTAGGGAAGAAGGCTTCTACCCGGTTTTTAATGGATAAGAAAAATTACAAAAAAACCACTTTAAAATGGACTATTTATACAACTTACCCTACCCCAATCTTTTCTCTCATTTTTTTTCCCAAAACAACATGTCTTCACACAAACCCCTTGTTATTTTTTGGATGGAAATGTAATCCCTGTGCAAACCAAATCAATTCGCGGGTCACAAGTAGCATACTGCCGGAGCACGTTCTCATAATGCCGGAGCGCACATTCAGAATGGCGGAGCGCTGTGCTCCATAGCCGGAGTGTTGTGGCTTAAGAGACTTCATTGCCAAAGCGGAATGCCGGAGGGCGTCTTTGCACTATCGAAGCGAGTTCTCATAAGGCCGGAGCCCTGCGGCTCAGACCTGCATTACCGGAGCACACATTCAGAATGCCGGAGTGCTATGGCTCAGACCTGCATTACCGGAGTACATATTCAAAATTCCGGAGCGCGTGTTTGTATGGCCGGAGCGTGTGTGAAAACAGGAGAGAAGGCTGTGTGAAAACAAACAAGAGTAGTTTAGTCTTATTTCATGCTACTTTTGGGTTTGGGGGAACAATTGTTTGGGGAAAAAGTGAGATAAAAGATTGGGATGGGTAAGTTGCATAGATAGTCTTTTTTAGAGTGTTTTTTTGTATTTTTTTTAATTAATAATAATAAAAAAAAGATTGTGTGTGTTCTTGTTACCACACACGAAACATTCGCGTGCTCCACATGTACCATCACTCTTACCTTTGTACTTTGGAATTAAAAAGGAACCTTTCTTATTACCAAATTGTTTTTGAGATAACCATTTTTCGTAATAATTAAAAATATGAAAATGACATCGTAGTCGAGCAATATTCAGTCCAATTCCAGCAAAAGGTAATTTGTTGCAACCGACTTCTCAACACATGTTAAAAATAAAAAAGAAAAAAGAAAAAAAATGGTAACTTGTAAAGTAGGTGAGAAAAAAAGGAGTAAAACATGCTACTGTTAGGATGTGATCCATAGAAAGGTTTCGTGATAAAGGATCACCGGAGATCTAGAGAGAGATTCAAGGGAAAGAAGGTGATAGGCAGAGGGGAATGGATGGTCATTTTTTTAGCATGTGAATTGAGTGATGGGCGTGTTTGATAACAGGACGTGTCTTCCTGAAAGTTTAGAACTTCTTAATACTGTTCAAGTTTTGTGTTTGATAAAAAAATTAAATTTTAAATAAAACTTCAAAGAACATTTAAAGTTTCAATCTTGCTTTAAAAACAAAGTTTTAACCCAAGGGGTGGAACTTTTTTTTTATGAAACCCCCAATATATAAAATGTATATATTTTATTGTATAATATACAATATAATTTATTGTATAATATATATTATATTTTATAATAAAATAAATAAAAAGTACAATATTATGTTATATATATATATATAATATAATGTTATTTTATGTATATTATATAATAAAAATAAATATTAATAAAACAATTCAATATAAAAATACAAATAAATATCAATAAAATAAATATAAAATCAATGTATAATATA